GCGCATTGTGAGAGTAACACGTCAGAGAAAGACTCTGGCCAGCCCCAAGTAACAGCGGGGCAGCAAGAGCCCAAGGGAAACACTGAGAGGCTTGGGGGAGAGGGTGCTGCTGTAGTCAGTGTCACAAAACAAAGTGTCTGTCTGTGAACTGCTGACTGGAAAACTCACTGAATCTGCTACCTTTCTGTAACAGCCTTTAGCCGTGAACTGTATGTCATCTGATCTCCTCCCCGACCACGAGTTCAGGAAAGAACCTGGAAGCTCAGGACTGGCACTCGGCACTCCCAGCAAGACTGGCCATCGGGTTGTGCTGTGGGAGGTCTCTCTCGTCTGGCCGGCCAGCCTGTGCCCTGGATTGAGGGTGGCATTCACTGTGTACCAGGAGGAAATCCCAGCACACACCACAGCAGCAGGGCCGGCGCCCTCTGGTTTGAACTACTTTGATTTGTAAAGCAATTCTTATTTAGAAAATGAAAAACACAAACTGTAGGTGTTGCCCCAACACACCTGGACACAAGAACTGAAATATGGTCACCAAGAGGGTCTGTCAGGTTTGCCCCTTTGGCTCACTAAGACCCATGCTACAGGAGCAATTCAGGCTGAGGGCGCAGAGTGACTTCAAAAAAGTCCCCATGGGACCTTGGCAGGCTGGTTCCAGTGCCCCAGTGCAGCCCCAAAGCCCACACAGCTACCTGAGCAGGGTTGTTACCATCGCCCTCCTCTGCTGCATGGAACCCCCAGCCTGCCAGGGACTCATAGCGTTCTTAGTCACCTGATGTGTGTACTTACCTGCTTGTAAAGCAGGGGCAACTAGGGCCTGTGCCAGTGCTGTACCTGACCCAGGTCACAGGAACCTACCCTATTGCCCGCAGTACCTTCCACCTGACAGAGGTCACAGGCCGGCACCTTCCCCCTGACCCAGGTCACAGGCACCAGCCACCAGACCAGCAGCTCCCCTGGCCGAAGTCAAAGGCCACCACCTTGCCCCAACCCAGGTCACAGGCACTAGCCGCGGGGCCAGCAGCTCCGGGGGCACCGAGACAACATGTCTGCATCGACATCCAGGCGGGGCTGGCAAGCTTGAACTCACGGCTCTGAATTGTGGGCTGGGCGAAAGGTGCCGGACACTCACCCCGAGGCGGGCACGGAGAAGCTGCGCCCATGGGGTACGTGTCCTTGCGCAGCTCGGCAGGGTCCCCAGCAGGGAGGGAGGAATCCACTCCAACACCCAACCCGACAGGAGCCCATAGGGTCCCTTCCTCCGATGGGGACCCTTCCCCCAGAGCAGCTGCAATGTGGCCCAGCGAGCAAGTGCGCCCTGGGCCTCAGACAATCTGGGGTCCCCAGGCTTCGACTTACTCCCAGCCTTCCCATACTTGTGCATTTTGGGGGACAGGGAACCGAAAGGGGCAGACTCCCAGCCGTATCCCAGCTGGAGTTGCCCAGGACCCTTACCTTTCAGGGTGCACCGTCGGTTATTCAGTGCCCCGCATCCTCGCCCTGCAGATGGGCTCTGAGCCCCGCCCCCACCGCGCCCAGAAGGAGGTGCCAACCTGACGCCAGACTGCGGCTTTGATGCAGTTTTGGGGGCGGGGCTGGACCGGAAACGGCCCCAGTGAAGATCCTGCGAAGCGGGGCTGGGCGGGGTGGCGGGGCTCAGTGTCGAACCCTCCACCCAGGCTGGTCCCCACCCCCACCCCACCCTGGGTCCCCCGCGCCACTGCCTCAGTGCCCTCAGGGCCAGAGGAGAGCACCCCTCAAAGGGCCAGGGGAGGCCCAACCCAGCCTGCACATCCAGGGGGCACCCTGATTGCCCACAGCCCTGGTGGGAGGATCCATGGCCCCTGAGGACCCCCTGTGTACCCCACAACCCTGGAGAGGGGAGCAAGAGTGGGGCCACCTCTGCTGTGTCCACTCTGGGCCTGCATACATCCAGGAGACCCCACAACAGCCTCCCCTGAACCACACACATCCTATCCTCATCTCCCTGCACGACCAGGTCAGAGAAAGAAAGCTCACAGTCAGCTCAGTCAGAGCACAGGAAGGTCAGTCAGGAAAGTTGAAGTTCAGTCAGAGCACAGTCAGCTCAGTTAGAGTACAATAAGTTCAGTCAGCACAGGAAACTCAGAGCACAGAAAATTCGGTCAGAAACCAGTCAGAGCACAGTCAGCTCAGTCAGGACAGTAAGTTCAGTCAGCACAGGAAGGTCATTCAGAGCACATAAAGTTACATGTTAGACTGCTAATCACAAGGTCAAAGTTGGAAACCACCAGCCACTCTGCAGGAGAAAGAGGAGGTTTTCTATACAGTGGAGAGCTAGTATCGTAAGCCCACAGGGGCAGGTCTCTGTCCTACAGAGTTGCCGTAAGTCCGACTGGACGAGATGGCAGAGCATTTGATTTTCATGTGATAGTTGGACCTGATTCTTTTTGGCAAGGCCTGGGACATTAGCTGGTATTGATTGCTGTGTTGGCTGTGGAGCCCGAGGGCCAGACATCCCCTCGCCCTGGCATATGTGCTACTGTCATTCATCTTCTCAATATGATTACTTTTACTTTCTATAATCAACTAGCTTTGTAGAAGACTTAGATATGAGAAGGAAAATACCTTTTTAATGGACCCATAAAGTCACCATGTGAAGCACACTGTTTCTTTGTGCGGACCCAGATTTCCCGTAGCATGACTTTGCTGCTGCCCAAAGAGCTGCCTTTATTGGCTGGTGCAGGTAGGTCTGCGGGTGATGGATTCCCTGGATGTATATTTGTCTGAGAGGCTTAATTTGCCTTCCATTTGGAAAAAATGGTTTTGCCATGCACAGGATCACAGCTAAGGGCTAAGATCCCATTATATTCCAGCTTGAATATATTCTGACAAGAACTTGCTGTAGTTTCCTTTTTTGTTTTGTTCCTCTATAAGTATCACATGTGCTCCCACCCCCACCTCCTGTCCCACCTAGGCACTTAATTTTTTTTGCCCCATTTCATTGTATTTCCAAAAATTGAGTAGGTTACACATTGGTATACTTTTGTTTCTTCTGCTTGGGATTATATGAGCACCTTGAATTTGTGGGGTTTTGGTTTTCATTACATTTGAGATTTCCATTCATTATTATTTTTTTATAATCATTTTATTAGGGGATCATACAACTCTTCACAATCCATGCATACATCATTTGTGTCTAGCACATTAGTACATATGTTGCCATCATCATTCTCACAACACCTGCTTTCCACTTGAGCCCTTGGTGTCAGCTCCTTATTGTCCCCCTGCCTCGCCCCTCTCCCCTCCCCTTTATAATTTATAAATTATTATTATTTGATCATATCTTGCACCATCCGACGTCTCCCCCACTTCTCCGCTGTCCGTCCCCCAGGAAGGAGGTTATATGTAGACCTTGTCATCTGTTCCCCCTTTCTCCCTCACCTTCCCTCCACCCTCCCGATATCGTCACTCTCTCCACTGGTCCTGAGGGGTTCATCTGTCCTGGATTCCCTATATTTCCAGTTCCTATCTGTGCCAGTGTACATCCTCAGGTCCAGCCGGATATGTAAGGTAGAACTGGGATCATGATAGTGGAGGGAGGAAGCATTTAAGAACTAGAGGAAAATTGTATATTTCATCGTTGCTACACTGCACTCTGATTGGCTCATCTCCTCCCCGCAGGCCTTCTGCAAGGGGATGTCCAATTTCCCCCGGATGGGCCCTGGGTCCCCACTCTGCAGTCCCCCTCTTTCACAATGTTATGGGTTTTTTTTGGGGGGAAGGGTCTTTGATGCCTGATAACTGATCCCCTCGATGCCTTGTCATCTTATAAGCTGGTGTGCTTCTTCCATGTGGGCTTTGTTGTTTCTCAATTAGATGGCCCCTTGTTTAACTTCCAGCCTGTGGGGGACCCCAGATTATGTATATTTTGACAGCTGGGCACCCTCAGCTTTCTTCACCGCATTTGCTCATGCACCCGCTTTGTCTTCAGTGTTCATGTCGGGGTAGGCTGGTGTGCTACTTCCGTGTGGCCTTTGTTGTTTCCTAGCTTGATGTCCGCCTGTTTGTCTTCAAGCCTTTAAGACCCCAGATGCTATATCATTTGATAGCCGTGCACCATCAGCTTTCTTCACCACTGTTGCTAATGCACCCGCTTTGTCCTCAGCGATCGAGTCGGGACAGGCTTGTGTGCTTCTTCCATGTGGGTTCTGTTGTCTCTCAGCTAGATGGCTGCTTGTCTGTCTTCAGGACTTTAAGACTTCAGGCGCTGTATCTTTTGGTAGCTGGGTACCATCAGCTTTCTTCACCACATTTGCTTGTGCACCCATTGTCTTCAGCGACTTCAGGTGTTATATCTTTTGTTAGCCAAGCAACCATTGGCTTTCTTCACCACATTTGCTGTGCACCCATTGTCTTCAGCAATCATGCTGGGCAGGTGAGCATCTCAGACTGCCGAATTGTTAGAACAAAGTGTTCTTGTGTTGATCCATCTGTTTTCTTAATACTCAACCTATAAATATATGTACATAGATCTACTTCCCCCTCATCATATAAAAATATATTTACATTTTTATATTCCTGTATTAAAATCTCTATGACTACCCTTTGCCTCCTAGTTCTTTCCTCTATTTCTTAGTACTTTCCTTTTGTCCCACTATCATGTTCTGCCTTTCTTTTGGGCTTTAGGAATTCCTCTCGGTTACATTGCCCTTGATCCAGCCCTGCCAGACCTCCCACACCCTCCTTGACATTGATTTTGGATCACTTGTTGTTCCCTTGTCCCTGTGCTTCTTAAAACCCTCTTCCTTTTTCCCCCGCCTCCCCTACCCCCATGTTCCCCGAAACTGTCATCCCGTTGTTCTCTCTTCTGGCTTGCTTATTCCACCTATCCCTTCCAGGTAGACATGCTATGTACCATCACTAGACTAAGTGCAACAACAGAAACTAAAACAATGGCTACAACAACAACACACACACATGCATACATATATAACCATATGAATAGTTCAGGGTCTGTTTGTTTTCCTTCACGTGTGCTTTCCAGTCAAGTCTGATGGGGTGCCATGCACCAGCACTGCCTCTATCCAGTCATTATTTATTCAAATATTTTTCTGCTCCCTTCTCACTCTTCTGCTACAGGGAGCCCCAATTATGTGGATAACTCCACTCTCTCTCTAAATCTTTTTAAAATCTAAGCATCAGGTGAATAGTTTCTATTTTTACTGTTCACATTTACTGTTTTAAGTTCACTGTAAACCCAAACCAGATCCACTTCCACTGGATCCATTCTGACTCGTAGAACCCTACAGGGCAGAGAGGACTACCCCCATAAGCTGTCAATCTTCATCAAACCAGACTGCCTCATTTTCCCCATGAAAAAGCTGGTATCCAACCACCAACCTTTTGCTTAGCAGCCCAACAGACAAACCACTGTACAGAGATCCTTTACTGCACATGCACATATCCCTGCTTTTTTAAAGGTTACTTTATGCCACTTTGCTTTTATGAAGGATCTAAATTAGTACCTGTTTTTGCTCACCACAAGACTTAAAAACGATTTTTGTTCTTATGAAAAAGGCAGAAAGTGAAACTAGGGATCAGCGTTTGTTCAGTGTTTGAACTACTCCCAGCCCTCTATGCACAACCAGAACCGTTCAGACTGCACTTTGTTGTAGTTCTTTTCCTGGCCTCTGGAAGTTACCTTGCACAGGTGCGAAAATTGGTACTCAGCCAAAGTATTAAAGGGGATTCTTTGCTGATTTCTGGAGCTGTCTCTATCTCTGGGATGCTCCATCTTTCCAGTAATCGTCACTGCAAATGCTAGATTCCTTGCACCACTTGAGTCTTCTAAATTCAGCAAGACTGTTTGTTCCTCTCCCTGAACTGCAGCCTAAAAACTGCCACCAGGCATTTAGCTTGGACAACTGTAAAATCACCTCACCTTATTTCCCTCTTTCAGTAATCACAGACTTGTGCTTGTGACACATCTAGAAACCACAATTTCATCTTTATTGTATAGTTTCTACCTTTTTAGGGCAGGAGAGGAAAGGTCTTTGTTATTTCATCTTGGCTTACAGAAGTCTTCACCGTAAAGAGGGTATCATTTAGAATGGTTTATTTTTGTACTAATTTACATACTGTGATCAAATGCCCTTATAGAATTATTTTAATATTTCAATAGGATTATTTATTTCATCGAATTTGGAAAATTACTTTAAAAAATACTGAGTACTTTTCAGCATGAAATCTTGAATAATACAACATTCAGCATTTCCTGTATTGTTTGGGTGCTTGACAATGAGCCAGAAAGTTGCTCCATGGGAGAAAGATGTGGTGGTCTGCTTCCATAAAGAATGTAATCTTTTCCTCCTCTGGAATGTAAACTGTATATGTTTAATAACTCACCTTATCTATCCTTGCTCAAAACATCAAAACGTAGGATTTGAAATGACTGTGACCCTAGTTGGAAATTAAACCGTTTTATGCACAAAATAAAAGAGAGAATACAGTGTTAAAAAAAATTGCAGTCTTAGAAACCCAGTGGGTAGTTCTACTCTGTCCTATAAGTTTGCTGTAAGTCAGAATTGACTCAGTGGCAACAGGTTTTAAGTATTCTCTGGTATATAGTGAGTTGTCATTTCTTAATACAGCTTTTTACTCACTTGTTAGGACAATGGTTTGTCTCTCTTTTAGGTCCTCACTTATCTAATGCGCTATGATTACTGACAGAAAGCTTTGTACTTTCATATTGATGAATCTTCTCTTGCGTAATGAGCTGCTAATTTATGACAGGTGTTTCCACATTTTCTATTTTTTTGCAAATACTACCCTGACTTTCCCACAAAAGCTTTCTCCACAATCATTGCATGGATGCTTTTCTTCTATATTAAGAAACATTCTTCTCAGAAGTGTTATAAGCTACAACAGTGGAGAACAGTTTTTCCACATCCACTGCTCTCATATAGTTACTACATTATATAATTTTCCTGATGTGTCATGAGTTGTGACTTCCTGTTGAAGTTTGTCCCACATTCACTGCATCCATAATTTTTCTCCTGTATGGATTCTCTGATGCCTCATGAGGTGTGACTTTCTAGTGAAAGATTTTGCACAGTCATCACATTCATAGGGCCTCTCCCCCGTATGAATTCTCTGATGTATAAAGAGCTGTGCCTTCTCAAAAAAAGATTTCCCACAATCACCGCATCCATAGGTTTTCTCTCCTGTGTGATTTCTCTGATGCTTAATAAGTTGCACTTTTTGAACAAATGCTTTGCCACATTCACTGCATTCATAGGGTTTCTCTCCCGTATGAATTCTCTGATGCCTAATGAGCTGTGGCTTCCAGGCAAAAGCCTTCCTACATTCACCACATTCAAAGGGTTTTTCTCCTGTGTGGGTCCTCTGATGATGAATGAGACTTGACTTCTCACTGAAAGTTTTCCTGCATTCAGGGCACTCATAGGGTTTCTCCCCTGTATGGGTCCTCTGATGTGATATGAGGCTTGACTTCTGAGTGAAGGCTTTTCTACATTGAATACATTCATATGGTTTTTCTCCAGTATGCGTTCTCTGATGGGTTAGGAGCTTTGATTTCCCAAAGAAAGTTTTTCCACACTCAGCACACCCATAGGGTTTCTCTCCTAAATGGATTTTTTGATGTCTAATTAGTTCTGATTTCTTAAAGAAGGCCTCTTCACAATCACTACATGGATAATTCTTCTCTCCTGTATGAGTTATCTGGTGTTTTACGAGCTGTGGCTTTCTGATGAAGGCTTCCCCACATTCACTGCATCCATACGGTTTTTCTCCTGTATGAATCCTCTGATGTCTAATGAGTAGTGAATTCCTGCTGAAGGCTTTCTTACACTCACTACAAGCATAGGGTTTCTTCCCTGTATGAGTCCTCTGATGAGTAATGAGCTGGGACTTCCAAAAGAAGGCTTTCCCACACTCACTGCATTTATAGGGTTTCTCTCCAGTATGAATTCTCTGATGAGTATTCAGCTTTAATTTCTGGGAGAAAGTTTTCCCACAATCACTGCATCCATAAGGTTTCTCTATTGTATGGGTGATTTGATGTCTTTTTAGCTGTGATTTCCTGCTGAAAGCTTTTCCACATTCACTGCATTCATAAGGTTTCTCTCCTGTATGAGTTCTCTGATGTAAAATGAGCAATGACCTCCTACTGAAAACTTTCTGACATTCACCACATCCATATGGTTTTTCTCCTGAATGAGTCCTTTGATGTAAGGTGAGCAATGACTTCTGCGAGAAGGCTTTTCCACATTCACAGCATCGATAGGGTTTCTCTCCTGTGTGTGTTCTCTGATGTGTAATTAGTTGTGACCTCTTATTAAAAACTTTGCCACAGTCTGTGCATAAATACACTCCTCCATTTGTTACATGATTTGCAATGAGCCATGACTCTTTACCACTGGCTTGTCTACATTTACTGCAGTCACAGTACTTTATTCCACCATGAACTCTGTCAGGTTTGATATGGAATAGGACCTTCTTATTAAACTCATCAAATTGCATTCTTCTACAGTGACTTTTTGAAATCATTAAATCAAAAGGATGTTTTGCACCTTTTTCACCTGTGTCACATTCTTGAGGTCTCATTCCTAGGTGAACAAAGTTTATGCTTGAATGAAATATTTTCCCCAAAACATCATATTCATGGCATCTCTCCATACTTTTAGGCTTGTCTTGATTATTCTGGTGCCTCATATTGTGAATATCTAGCCAGACTTCTAAAAAGGAAAAAAAAAAAAAAAAAGAGCCATACTGTATAAATCCTGCAATGATTGTACTTATTTTATAACATTTTATAAATCGAGTCCAGCATTTCAGTTTTAAAAATTCCTTAAATACACTGTCTGCTGGCAAATTCTTATAGACTTGCAAAAGAGATTTAAAAATACTCCAACAGTAATTATGAGATTAGAGTCTAGAGCAATTTCTGATCAAGTACTACGGTGGTTACTTTATCTCTAGAACAACAATATACCGATTATCTACTATGATCCAGAACTCTGTAGCAAAAGATCAAGAAAGAAGACAGAGAAGTACCCCAACCATCTGGTGCTCCAGGTGAACCAGAAACTGGCTTCAAAACTCTCAAACTGTACAGAAGAAGGCTTATTCTACCTTACATGGATTCACCTTCTGTAATTAATATAGAAATTGACAATTTTTGCAGAAATGAAAAAAACTATTACTAAAGGAAACTAGAAGGGAATCAAGGTCCCCTAAAGCGAGGAGAAGATGAGGAATTCTTTAAGAGGCGACAAGAAGCCTGTCCCAATAGGCTGGATTAGGAGATATGAGAGCAAAAGAAAAGGAGATGTAAGAATGTACTGAGAGAAGACCCACTAAAGAAAAAAGTTCTAAGTAACTGGCTATTAATCTGTCTCACTGCATGGGTCACAAACGGCACATTTCATCATAAATCCATGCACAGACAGCAAGTCCTAACTTGAAAAGCAGCCATTCAGCATGTTAATCTAAAACCCAAACAATGCATGTCACCAGACTGAGGGATTTAATACACAGTTTTGTAAATAATCTTTCAAAAGTGCCATTAAAACAAAACAAAACCGTTGAGATTTAGATTCCAGTGCATCCCAGACATTCGTTTTTTTCTCACCTGAAAGGTTGTGAATTAGCATTTCTTCATCTATCATACATGGGTCTTCTCCTTGCTCCAGCTGGAAAATTGCAGTAGGTTTGATAATCTGATACCCTGTCAATTGGAAAAACAGAGGACCTAACCCCAACTGCATGGGCTGAAGGGTTTTTAATTATTAATAATGTTTTATTAAAAAGATTGCAGTAAATATGCTTGACACAATGGATGGATGTATGGATTGTGATAAGAGCTGAAAGAGCCTCCAATAAAATGATTTTTAAAAATTTTAAAAGACTATAATATAAAAATAGAAAAGTCTTTCAGTTGGACCTAGAATTGAATGAATCTTTGACATGTAAGACTTATATCAAAAACCACCTCAGAGGCTCTAGTTATCGGGTGCACAATACGCTACGTACATACATTAGTGCTCTTACCCAAGAAAACAAGATTGCTATAGTTCTCCAACATCACATCTCTGTATAAGTTCTTTTGAGTAGGGTTAAGCATCTGCCATTCCTCCAATGTGAAATCCACAGCCACATCCTCAAATGATACCTGAAAAGCATAACGCTTCCCTGTTGAATCTGAAGTGATTATCATTAGCTCTTAGTAGTACACGGACTTTCTTTCTCCTCACATTTGTGGTGGGAAGCCTCTAAGATGCCAAAATGATCTCTGATTCTTGTCATCAAAGTTTCCTGTACTCATCCTCACTTGAGTATGGGCCTGACTACTACCTTGTTTTCAGTGAACAGAATAGGGCAGAAGTAACGGGATGCTACTTCCATGATTATCTATGAAAAAGGGCTATGAATTCTGTGTTGTGTGTGCTCTCTATAGAAAGCTAGCTGCCATGTTGCAAGGGAGTTCTGAGAGGTCCAGTGTTAGGGAATAGAGGCCTACTAACACTCACATGCACAAGCTTGGATGGGAATCTTGAGGCCTGCCAACAGTTATACGAGTGACCCTAGAAGGGGATCATATCCCTGTTGTGCCTGAGGGCACACAGTTCTGTCCCATACCTTGATTACAGCTTTGGGAAGGAGCCTTCACCAGACCCCCCCAGGGTGAGCCATCAGCAGACTCGTGAGGTAATGTTTATTGTTTTCAGCTTATTTGTTACATAGCAATAGAAAATAAATGAGGAAAAAAGAAAATGTTGTTAAAATAATTATCATTGTTAACTCATCCACTTACCTGTTAAGAGTACATTGTGTTTGGAACAATTTTGCTAAACAAGATTGTCCCCTGCGTTGTGAGCAGGCCTAGCCACTACACACTAAATGACAGTAATGGGTACAGTTACATATTTGAAACATTCTCCTCCCTCAGGGAGGTGTTCTGCTCCCAAACAAGAATGATGTAGTCCTTTTTGTTTTTTATGTAGTTCTTTCAGATATCTTCTACAACACACATATTAAGCAATTACGGTGCGAGGGACTATAACAACCCACTGCCATCCAGTGGATTCCAACATATTGGAACCGAGCAGAACTGCCTCTTTGGGATTCTGAGGCTGTGCATCTTGATGGGAAGACAGAGCATCATCTTTCTCCCACACAGCAGCTGGTGGGTTCAAACTGCTGACCTTGTGCTAAGCAGCCCAATTCTTAACCCACTACACAACGAGGGTTCCTTAGGGGCTCTAATAGGTGCTAGAAATATAAGATGAACAGAAAAAAAATCATGTTCTCCAGTTTTAATATCAGACAGAGATTATTGTAAATTTGATTATGATGCATTGAACCACGGTATGATACTTGATCAACTAACTTCCCTCTTGACCCAACCTAAATTTGCTCTGTGCTAAAATATTTCTTGCTTGTTCCATGGCAGAAATTTCTTCTCTGGCTTTTAAATATTGTTGGTGGTATTTTCTTTCTTACTCTTTTTTTAAATTTTCATCTTTATATTATTATTTTCTTCTTTCTATTTCAATTTGTATTTTGTTTCTATCAGGTGTGCCAGTTTATGAAGCACAGAAGGAGTGGATACAGAGAGACAATAACTGATGCAGTGGTTTATGGGCTGAGGGGGCTGAGAGGAATTGGAGAGCAATAAATGAATGCAGAAGGAGGGAGGAAGCATTAGAACTGATCATGGTGATGTATACACAACTCATTTTAAAAGCAATTTAACTATGGAAATGTATAATATGTGACTATTATATTAAGAAAACTGTCTTTAAAAAAAAAGACAGAAAAAAAACTTGACCTATTGTTACTATGAGTGAAAGAAGAAGAATTTTTGCTTAGGGGGCATTGTGATTATTTTAATGGTGGTGGAACAATTTGGTGAGGGATATTAATAATGGCTGTATACCACTAAGCATATAATCAATTGCACTGAATTATACATGTAGAAATTACTGAGTTGGAAAAGGTTTTGTTGTGCCTATTTTTGCCACAATTGAAATATATATATATATTAATAATAATGAGTACAAGGAAGAAGAAAATGTTCTAAAATTGATTGTGGTGATGATTGGACAACTCTTCTTGATATGACTGAACTACTGAATAGAATATGTGGGTGAAGTGCGAGTAAAGCTGTTAAAAGAAATTAATGTTTTCAAATACTCTTAGTCTCTTCTCTGTTTTTTGTATAAGAGCTTTATATACAAGAGCAATTGTATATTGAGAAAACATTCCAACCCAGCCCAAATCAAGTCCAGAAGTCCGATACTAGCCTATATGTCTGATACCAGTCTATAAAATCCTCTTCAGACTCACACAACACATGCAATGATGTCAAATGCAAGAAGATCACAGGCCAGTGGGTGGAAAGTCTTGTGGATCCAGTGACAGTGGAAGCATCTCAGCACTGGTGTGGGTCTCCATGTGGTTCCTACAGTTCCCAGGGCTCTGGCTCCAACAGCAGAGTTCCAGGTGGCTTTTCAGCAGGAAGATGAAGCAGAGAGTGTGTCCTGCCTCCAGTGAGCTATTTATCTCTGTTGTGCCTCCAAATGAGGTGATCAAGCTGTGACCTGATTGACCGACTAGACTTCACCCCTTCCTCAGGTTGACAGTAGATCAGGTAACTGCCACAGTGGGTTCAAATGGCTGACCTTCAGTTCACCTAACTGTTGCTCCATTGGGACTTTTCATCCACGTGCATAGGAGTGAGGACTCCACACATATTTTTCAGGGGGCACAACCCAACCCATAACAAATAGCCTACTCATGAGAAGCCCTTGTGGCATACTGGCTATGAATTGGCCTGCAATCTACAAGGTGAGCAATTCAAAACCATCAGCTACTCCTCAGGAGAAAGAAGAGCCTCTCTATTTCCACAAAGAGTTCATCTCAGAAACCCACAGGGGCAATTCTACACTGTCCTACAGGAAAGCCAGGAGTCAGAATTGACTCAATAGCAGTGAGCTTGTTTTGTTTTTTAATACCCTAACCCGTGAATACAATTTCTTTCTTTTTAAAAAATCATTTTATTAGGGGCCCATACAACTCATCACAATCCATACTACACCAATTGTGTAAAGCACATTTGTACATTGATTGCCCTCATCATTTTCAAAATATTTGCTCTCCACTTAAACCCATGGCATCAGCTCCTCATTTTTACCCTCCCTCCCCGCTCCCCCCTCACTCTTAGTCTTTTCAAACCCAACATCTATCCAAACAAAGGCAATAATGTATTAAAGTGACTAAGATACAAAAGAAGGAGTTAACCGCTTGACCACTAAACAGAAAGATAAACCTACTAGCCACCCTAGAGAAAAAGATGTGAGTCCGCTTCCATAAAGATTACAGCCTTGCAAACCCTTAGGGGCTGTTCTGCTATAAGTTAGAATCCGCTTGACAGCAGCAGGTTATTGTTTGAAGATTGAAGAATATTGAGGTCAGCTTTAGCTCTAGCGGTGACTTCACACATGCTCAGCAGAAGAATACAGAGAAAACAGAGGCAGAAGAAGTACTAAAACAATGGTTTGTGGACACAGGAAATAGGAAGCAAGGGAAGTTTATGAAGGCATAAGTGGGTTGGTTACACAGGATGGCAGGGGAAAGAACAGGGGCATTCAACGTTTAACAACAAAATCCAGAACTGTTCACCTGAGTGACTATAAAGAGCTCAGTAACCTAAGACATGGTGGTAGATTGTTGGAATACCCCCGACCCTTTTGTACAGTGGAAGCTGGGACCAAGAAAGGTGAGTGAAGCACTTGGGCCACTTTCACAGGCAAATCTGAGCACTCGCATTTCAAGGGCTACAAGGGCAGAGAGGACGAGAGGACAGAGGTTTCAGGCAAATACGAGAATGGAATTCTAACAGAATATCTTCCTGCCTAAATTCTCTGTGTTGCTGGAGCAGAAACTGGATGGCATAAACAAACAGGAATTTACTTTCTCCACTGCCATTGAATATATTCTGACTTATTGCAACTGTACTGGACAGAGCAAATCCACTCTCTCAGGTTTCCAAGGCTATAATCTTTCCACAAGCAGACTGCCACATCTTTATCCTTATTCTAAGCTGGTGGGTTCAAACTGACATCTTTCAATCAGCAGTCAAGTGCTCCTTTCCTCACAGCTGAGACAGCTGGAAGTGGGGCCTCAGGCTCTATGGAAGGCTTCCTGTCTCTGTCTGCTTGCTTCTGTGTGTCTAATCTGCCCTTGTTATAACTTAGGTGTGATTAGCTTAAGACGCACCCAACAATGATATGGTCTTCTAACATAACAAAGAAAACCTATCCCCACGTGGGTTAAAATTTACAACACATAATTTTTTGAGGACCACGATCCCTAACACTTCTCTCATCTTCAGAGTTTTGGCTGATGAAACCTAAAACATCCAAAAAAGTTTCATGCTGTTACATGAGGTGGTAAAAAAATCATGCCTTCAGATTTACAACAACAAGCTAGTTGTATATATGGGTGTGTGGGCTAACTTCATAGTACAGGTACCTCTTGCACACATATATGGAAAACTTTTAGAAGTTTTAAAGTAGTTTTGGGTTGGAAGTAAAACCGGGTATCTGGCTGAAGGTAACACACTTGCAAGCTAGAAAAAAGAGATCCCCAAAAAAATCCTCACATAGAAAGCTGCAAGACAAATAAGTTCAGAATAAAAGAGAAGTTAGTTTCAAGCAAAAAAGCATCATGAGAGAGCACTGGAGACAGATAGGTGTGTGCCACGGTGCTGCCAACAGAAAATAAACAAACAGGAAAACTCTGAGCTGTCAGCTATGAAATACCTACCAGCATTCTGACTGAGAGTATCATGGGCGCCATCTGGAGTCTCAGTGAGTCAATTATGCCAGATGATTTCATTTTCCATCCAGCAAATGGTGGGTGTGTAATGAGTTGTCTTTTAGAATTCCACTTATTTTGAGGAGCTTTTAAAGAAAAGGCCCTACGAAATACGCTATTGTATTTATAATAGGGTTGCTATTTAGGACTTTATCCACTATTAAAATAGAAACTTAAATTACCAAGTGGATGATAACTCAGAGCGACCCTACGAGACAGCGTAGAGCATGCAGTTCCCAAGGCTATCTTCTTTACAGAAGCAAACTGCCACGTCTTTCTTCGGTGGAGCAGCTGCTGGGTTTGAACTGAAGATCTTTTGGCAAGCAGCTGAGTGCTTTAGCCAATGCACTACCAGGTCTTGCTTGTCCGTAACAGTATTTACATAAACAGGTCACATGGGTATCCACACAATGTGTACTTATGAAAAGATACTGCCTGCTCTAGTCACTGCACTTTTTCCTGGACACAGAAGAAACCATGCTTCAATTCCTCTTTCCCTTCCCATTACAGGTGCTTGTGATATCCTAGCAAAGGGCCTGTCACGCATCTCTGCTCCAAATGTAAGACTGCATGGTTCATGGCTCTATGATCCGCTTTGTGCTCCTCTTGACCATCTTCTCCAACTTTATTTTCCTCCCAATTTAATGTTTGTTGTAGGGATTCTGCTAAGTGGCCTCATACTCCTGGGTAAAAGTGCTAGAGTGCAAACAGAGAGCTCACCTGTGTCTTAGTCATTTTCGGCTTCTTCTGGGACCCCTGCTGTCTGCTGCGACTTCTCTGTCCTGCTGTTCTGTGAAAAGGACTCTGGTTAAAGTCTGCACACTGAGAATGCCTCCTGATCCCGAGGCTTCCTCTTTTTATCTCATGTGAACGGTCTTATTCCTTTGTGCCATGGCTTGTGCGCTCAGAGGAAATTTTATTTTAGAGATGTAATTAATTTAGGGTCCTACATCGTGCTTTCTAGCAGCAAAGCAGACTGATGAAAATCAAGGACTATATCCTTCAGTATTTTCAATTCAATGTAAACATGAAATAAAATTTAAAAGTCTAATGATGTGTTTTACATTGGGTAAATCTGATGCATAAAACCGCCTTAATGTGTCACAGAGCTAAGTTGTCACTTTGACACTAAGATGTGCCTGACTTAAGCCACAGTATTTTCAACAGGGCAAGACTGACTGACATTCTTTGGACATATAATCAAAAAGATTAGTCCTGGGAGAAGGACATCATACTCAGTACAGTAAAGGATCAACAAAATAGAGGAAGACCCTCAACGAGATGGACTGACATAGTGGTTGCAACAACGGGCTCAAAAATGCAACTGCTGTGAGGATGATGCAGGACTGGGCTTGTGTTCTTTTGTATACAAGGTCCCTACGAGTCGGAATGGAGTCGACAGCACCTAACAATGTTGTCTTGTCATTCGTGGGTCTGGAAACCAATAACATGAAATGTGAGCAACTGGTGTTTCAGTGAACCTTTGCCCACACCTAGGCCAGGTGAGTCAAAATCCTCACATAGTAAGCTACAAGACAAAAAAGTTCAGAATAAAAGAGAAGTCAGTTTCACGCAAAAAAAGCATCATGAGAGAGCACTGGAGACAGATGGTTGTGTGCCACGGTGCTGCCAACAGAAAACAAACAAAGGAAAACTCTGAGCTGTCAGCTATAAAATACCAGCATTCTGACTGAGAGTATCATGGACGCCCCCAGGGGGCAGCACCACTACACTGAGCTGTTCTGAAAAAACATCAAGATATTCTGGAAGTACTATAAATGCAAAGGGCATTTATAGAGGTCTAAATAAAGGTGTGTGCATATGTAAATATATTTATATATGAGGATGGGGAAATAGATCTATATGCATATATTTATAGGTGTAGTATTAAGGTAGCAGATGAACATTGGGCCTCCACTCAAGTACTCCCTCAATGTAAGAACACTTTGTTCTATTAAACTGGCATTCCATGATGCACACCTTCCCAACACGATCGCTGACGACAAATGGGTGCATAAGCAAATGTGGTGAAGAAAGCTGATGGTGCCCGGCTATCAAAAGATATA